AGAATTGGAAATTGAGGGGATGCCCATCAATTGGGGAATGGCTGAATAAATTGTGGTATACGAATGTAGTGGAATACTACTATTCCCTAAGAAATGATGAGCCAGCGGACTTCAGAGAAACCTGGAAAGACTTATATGAACTGATACTGAGTGAAGTGAGCAGAACCAGGAGAACATTGTACACAGTAGCAGCCACATTTTGCAGTGACTAATTTTGATATTTAGCTCTTCTCAGCAATGCAAGGTTCTAAGACAACTCCAAAAGACTCATGATGGAAAATGCTATCCACATCCAGAGAAAGAACTTTGTAGTTTGAATGCAGATGGAAGCATACTATTTGCTCTCTTTTTTTGTTGTTGTTGTTTTATTTCTCCTTTCTTGTGGTTCCTCCCATTGGTTCTAATTCTTCTTTACTACATAAGTAATGTGAAAATATATTTAATATGAATGTATATATAGAGGAGGGGGGAGAAGAGGGAGGAGAACATTTTAAACCTAAAGTCTTATGGAAGTGAATGTTGAAAACTAAAAATAAATAAATTTAAAAATAAATAAATAAAACTTCAAAAAAAAAGAAATTAAAACTATCTATAATCATATGAAAAAATGCTCCAAATCACTATTGATTAGAGAAATGCAAATTAAAACAACTCTGAGGTGCATTATTTTCCCCTTTTTTGGTTCTTTTTTCTCCTTTGTCATTTTTTCTTTCTCTATCTCCCCTTTTGTTCTGATTCTTCTTTCATAACATGACTAATGTGGAAATATGTTCAATATGATCATATATGTATAGCCTATATCAGATTGCATGCTGTCTTGGGGAGGGTAAAGGGGGGGAATTTAGAACTCAAAATCTTATAAAAGCGAATGTTGGAAACTAAAAATAAACAAACTAACAAAAAAGGAGAGACTCTAGACAAAGAGAGAACAGAGATGAGATTAGAGCCTTGGAAAACACCTACTTGTAGGGACAGTCAAGTCAGTAAGCCTTTATGAAGAAATTAAATCCATCCATCAAAGCAGTGATCAGAGAGGTAGAAAGAAAGCCAAGACAATGTCAAGCCAACAGAGTAAAGAGTTTCAGGAAGGAAAGGAGTGATCATAAGTCCCTACTGTTTCAAAGATGTCAGAGAAGATGAAGAATATGAGAAAAGTCTCTTGAATTTGTCTTTCTATACTGTCTCCTTCACTGCTGTCTACAAATATGCTCAGATTCCCTCTACTTAAAAATTCCTCTTATCACCCTTCTTGCTTCTCAAGCTGTCATTTTATAATTCTCCTCCATTTCAGAACTAAATTTTTAGAAAAAAATCTAACAGGTGGTACTCCAGTCTCTATTTTCTTTTCTATTTTTTGGTCCATATTTTTTCCCTTCCACCTCCTCTTTCCTCCTTTGAGAAAGCAAGACAAACAAAACTTATTACAAACATGTATAATCAAGCAAAACATATTCCCACATTGGCCATGAACAACAACAAAAAATATGCCTCAAACTGCGCTCTGAGTCCATCTCTCTATTTGAAGGTAGCACACTTCATCATGAGTCCTCTGAAATTATGATTGGTCATTGTGTTATTCAGAGTTCTTAGTCTTGCAAAATTGTCTTTACAATATTGTTACTGTATAAATTAGTCTCCTGATTATGCTCATTTCACTTTCCATCAGTTCATGCACGTCTTCCCTTTGACACCATCTCCTTCAGCATTTCTTACAGCGCAATGGTGCCATATATATACCATAACTTGTTCAGCCATTCCTTTGTTGATGGACACCCCATCAGTTTCTAATTCTTTGCCACCATAAAAAGAGCTGCTATAATATGTTTGTATAGATGGGTCCTTTGTCTCATTCTTTGATCTCCTTGGAGTCATCTAACTTCTTCTTGATGACACCAAGGGAGAAGGGAACTTACCAGGAGGGAGCTTTTAACGCAAATCCATTTTTGGACTTTTTTGATTATTAATAGTACCCCATACCTAAATTGACTTCTTTGCAACATTTCCCTCCCTACCCCCACCCCCCCAATTGTTTGTATTTCTGCTTTCTGGGTCCAAACAGAATAACTCTGATCCTCCTTCCATATATAACAACCCTTCAAATCATTATCATCATTCATTATCTTCAAATACAATGTCTCCCATGTATCTTAATTTCTCCAGGCCAAACATTCCTCGTTTCTCCAGCAGGTCTGACCATGTCACTTCCCTGCCAAAGAATCTTCTATGATGCCTTGCTGCCTCCAGGATAAACTATAAGTTCCTCAGCTTATCATTTATAGCTCTTCACAATCTGTCCAGCCTGCATTTTCAGAATTAATCCGTATTATACTTCCTCGTACACTTTGCTTTAGCCTAATTAACCTACTTGCTGTGTCAAATTTCCCAAAGTGTATATTCCATTTCCCTCTTGGGCATCTTTGCACAGGTTACCTTGCCGTGTGTTCAAAGCATTCCCTCTTCCTCTTCACCTCTTAGGATCCTTACCCTTCTTCAAGGTTCCACAGAGGTGCAACCTCTGACAGGAAGGCCTTTCCTGATCCTCGTAGTTGTTAGTGCTTTATCCATAGTGAAATTATTTTATATTTACTTACCCATTTACAAGTTGTATTCCCCCAGTAAGATCTTTGAAACCTGTAAATTGTTTTGCTGTTGTTGTTTTGTCCTTGTATCCCCAGCCCTAGGACAGTGCCTTTCGCATAGTAACCACTTAATAAACGATTATTGATTTGAATGGGATGGAATTGAATCATTGACTCTTGGAAAGCTGTTTTCTGGTAAAGTGATCATGGTAGAAGCCATTTTACAAGAGGTTAAAGAATGTGTGACAAGGACATAAAGACAGAGCTTTTTACATCCTAGGCAAGATTTGAAAATTTTAATCCCTGTTTATTAATTATATGCCTGAGGCTTTGAGTCTTGATTCTAAACATGTGATTTGACATAATGCAAAATAAATATATAACCACGTAGAGTAGAATTTGCTAGTATTAAAATATGTACATTTTTCAAAAAAATACTAAAGATTGTCCCTCATGCTCTCTAATCATAACTTTAGAGATAGAAGGGCCTTAAAAGTTATTCAAATACCCCAGATGTCTTAAAAAACTGAAGCTGAGAAAGGAGAATTGCTCCAGGCCACACAGGAAGGAAGGACCAGAGCCAGAATTTGAATTCACTTTTATTTTTTTACTCTAAATCCAGTCCTCTTTCCATTTTACCACCTTATTCCTCTTCTTGTCTCTCTGTATAGCTACCCTCTCAAGACATTTGTCAGTGAAAAAGGAAGGGAGAGGTGGGCCAGAAGCTCAAGTGGCAGTGATTGAAGATTGTTATTGTTCCTGTTGTTTATAACAAGAGTGACATGTCAGATGAAGGAAGAAGAACAGTGGATATGGAATGATTAAAATATACGAGAGAAGTGAAGATTGCTTTAACAAGGTTCTGGAAAAGGTTGAGCATTAGGATGAAATCAAGAGTACTGGTAGAAGGGTTAACTCTTGTAAGAAGAAAGTCTTCCTCTTTTTCAATGAAGAAAGAGGACAACAGGTTAAATGGAGACAAGTTTTAAGGGATGAGGAAGAATCATTGCTAGATTAAATAAAAAATGGCAACAAGGAAGGAAAAAGAATGAATAAAGAAGGTGGTATAAAGACAGGCCTAGAGGAATAGAAAAGAGTTAGTCTAGGAGAGAAAGCTTTGAAGGATTCTTGAGTTATTTCTCTTTGTTGAAGTCTGTTTAATGTTTTCTTCTTATTTTCCTGCCATTCCATTCCTAGGACAGGATTAAAATCAAGAAATTGACTTACAGCTCTACTTTAAAAAGACTTTTGTCCACCTCTGTGTGTATAGCTTAAATTGAGGGGAAGTTTACATGTGGTAGAGGTCTACAGTTAGGGAAATCTGACCAACACCAGATAGGTTGTTCCTTTTCTAAATTATATACCTAGTCAAACAAAAATTAAACTGAAAGTTTAAGAAAACTGTTTTACATTCATCTTTTTCCTATTGTATTATGTGAACATGTCTATCTTCATGAGTAATAATAAGTGGCTATTTCTATTACCATTAACATTGGCATTAAATCAAATATATTCTTGACTGAGGGCTAAAGCCAAGGTTTATTTTCTTTCTGAAATGTGTTCATTAGACCCAATATTCTGAGGGTACAGTAAGGCATTGATCTGTTGAAATAAGTCAGCCTAAGCTCCTTGTTCCTAGGATGAGAAAGGATGTTCCCTGATACACTCAAGGCTTTGATGTCCCTGATGAAGAGAGTGCTGGGAAAGTTCCTTTTGTATTGGCCCAACAGGTTTAAATTGCAACTGCTTGTGTTCTGCCTAAATTTTATAAGAATATAATAACTTGCCCACCTTAATTGAAAAATCACTTCCATTTATGGCTGAATTTAAACATGTTTTGTATTTAAATGATAGCTTTTGGTAAAAACCAAACAAACCATATTTTATGGAAAGTGGCCATTTCTGTGTTCTGCAAAGATATTTTGAAAATTTCTCATCAAATTTCCAGCATTAAGTAATATCCCACTCAGTGCAAGATGAAATGGTTTACATCAAATCTCATGCTGTGTGATGGCCAATCTAAAGGTATTTATAGCAGGTGAATGGATTTTTTGTCTCTATATTGAAAATTAAGCATTTTAAGACATTAATATTTAATGTTTCTTCCACTCTCTTAGTTGATTTTTATATAACCTTAGACTATTCACAACTCCAATGATACTGTTTATATTAAAGTTGCTGTCTGCAAACTCTTGTCTTATTTTTATCATCATTGGTGAGATGTACTGAAATGCATGTTGCTTGATAATGGTTTTAGCCCTGACTATTGAACATATCTTCCCCGTTATATGAATGCCATCATCGTGAATTGGAAGACTGATTCAAAGCAGCTTTGATGGAGCAGATTGTCTCATTGCTTTCTGGAGGGCTACAAAGAAAAAAATTACTTTATTAGATCTTTAATCTTTTATTTCCTTTCAGGTGCCCCTCAGGAAGGACTCTCCCCGTTCTCCACATCAGGAACAGAATGGTCCCTGTCGGAATCTCACAAGTTCACAAAACTATCAAAACAAGAATGAGCCTAAATATGCAAACCAGAGCTCAGCTTCAGAAACAAATCTGCACTTCAGGAATTATTCTCCCAGGATGGCAGCCCTTCATCTTCCCCAGGATGGTCTGAATAGGGAACAAGCAGGGGCAAGAACATGTAACCACAGGTCCCCAGGAGCAAAGCTAATGGGCTCAATTCCAACAGAGAGAGCCTCATCAGATGAAATGAGACTTAAGGAATTTTCACACTCCCGGCCTTACCTAGGTGGTCATTGCTGTGTTCACAGTAATCCTGAAAATGAAGATCATGTTCATGGGAACCATCAGGCAAAAATGACCAGATGGCATCCCAGGACACATCATCAGGAGCATTGCGATTATTGTGAGCTCTCCTGGACACCTATGCTACGTGCACCAGTGTCATTGGAGCCTGAGGAAGCGGATGACAAAAAGCAGATGTCCGCAGAGAGGAGGAATCAACTTCTCCTGCAGAAAATGGAGCTGGAGATTGAAAAGGAGCGCCTGCAGCATCTGCTGGCCCATCAGGAAACAAAACTTCAGTTGAAACAGCAGCAGCTCCACCAGTCCCGGCTGGATTATAGTCGGTGAGTCCTGTTGTCAGAGTTGTTCTTCTCATTCTGTTCTTCTCACTAGTCCCTGTACACGGAGGAGTGTGTGGCAGGATAAATCTATTCCTGTAACAATTGTGTAGACAAGTAACTCCCTTGAGGGGTTGGCATTGTTGGACTTGCATGCTGACTGTTGAGACTGAATAAACTCCCCATCCTCTTTAGATTTTAAAGGTTATCTTGCCTTCTTCAGTATTTGCTTAAATTAATCAGCTGCCTAGCAGCAGAGTGTAACTCTTGGTACACACTAACACTGTACGATACTTAGGAAATGATGCTGTTATAGCAGAAGAGCCTTTGAAATTTGGAGCCACAAAGCATCTCAATACAATAAGCATTTATTAAGCACCTACTTTGTTCAGAATGCTGCACTAGGGACTGGAGCAGATACAATGTTTGAGCAAGACGAGCCTTCAAGGGGCTTACAGTCTAGGTGGAAGACTAGATACCAACTCGATGTACCTGTAATATATAACATTCTATGAAAAGCTTATTAGAGTTACAAAACAAAGTACTATGTAAGGTTTTGAGCAGTAGAATTTTTAACAGCCAGAGTGATCAGGAAAGATTTCTGCAGGGACTTTGATATCTGAGCTGGATTTTAAAGGATGGGTAAGAATTTAACAGACAAAGAAAAGGCATCCCAGACATAGAGGGATAGCATAGAAATGGAAGTGTGGTAGACAATATGGAGCCAGAGTTGTGTAGTTTGAGTGGAATAGAGAATATGTTGCATGGAGAAAAGTAAGAATATAAGATTATAACTAGAAGCTTGTGATTCAGGAAGAGTATTTACATTCAGGGAGAAGTATGTATGTCTGTCCTGTAGAATACTTTGTAACAGCTTTACAAAGTCAGACTTATCTAGTCATAAGGTACATTGGATTCATTCAATGAAGCTTGTCAATATCTTCCACATTCAGACTCCACTTTGTTACTGTCCCTGCTTTAACAAATTTCCTGCCAAAGAAATCTTTTTGAAATTTTTTTTCTCTCTGGTCTTCATTAAGGATATGACTTCGAATCCCTGTCTTACCTCAGTAAAGTCCACTTTAGATATTTATTTCATGTTCGGATGCACTTTAAAAAACTGTGCTATTTTCTTAAGTGGGGCAGCTAAGTGATGCAGTGGATAGAGCACTGGGCTGGGGATCAGGAAAATTGAGTTAAAGTCTGGCCTCAGACACTTCCTAACTGTGTGTGACCCTGGGCAAGTCACTTAACCCTGTTTGCTACAGTTTCTTCATCTGTAAAGAAGGAAATGGCAAACCACTCCTGTATCTTTGCCAAGAAAACCTCAAATGGGATCACAAAGAGTCAGATATGACTGAAAAACAACTGAACAACAACAATTTTCTTAAGTGTTAATTCTCCTTACACTAATGGCTTTTGACCACCATTTTAAAATTCTTTTTCTATAATTCAAGTCCCAAAGTATTTGGTTTCCCAAAAGTTGATTTTTTTAACCCAAATACAAGCGTTTATGATTTCTATATTAAATTTCATCCTATTAGAGTTGACCTTTTGAGATCTTTTTAGAACATTACTCTGTCATCCAGTGTATTAGCTATCCTTCCCAGCTTTGGGTCTACTGAAAATTTGTTAAGAATACTACCTTTGCTTTTGCCCAAGGCGTTAATAAAAAACATTAAACAGCATGAGGTAAATCAAAGTTCCCCGGGGCACACTACTAGAGAACTCCTTCCAAGCTAGTATTGAACAATTAATAACTACTCTTTCAATCTGTCAATTCAGGAAGTTCAAATTCCACTCAACTGTAGTATTATCTAGCCCATGTCTTGCCAGTCTTTTCCATGAGAGTAACATGATAGGCTTTGTCAAAGACTTTGCTAAAACCTGTGTAAATAATATCACCAACATTTTCCTCATTTCCTTGTCTAAAAAGGAGATAAAATTAGCCTCACATTTTATCTTCTGGATGAAATCTTGTTGATTCTTTGTTATCACTACTTCCTTTTTTTTTGTTTGATCAATAACCATTCTTTTAATAATGAGTTTATGTAATAAGTTTGTGTTTATTAATAAAATAATCCTCTTTTGAAAATTAACTTTTTGTAACTGGTCTGTTTAGTCTGATATTTCCATGTGGTGCTAGATTATATCTGTATTTATCATCTCACATTATACTCTATCCCTAATGGCTTATCATTCCTATATTTTAAACTGCAATCTACACATCTAAATACTATTCTTAGCCATTTCTTAATCAAGTGGTCACTTCCTAAATCTATCTTTTCCTTTTGAAGCCTCAGTCTTCAATTGGACCACAGTGATGAAAACACTACCTGTGGTATTCAGTTTCTTGTCCAGGACTTCATTATTCCTGACTGTGTTTTTTTAGTTGTTTCCTGCAGTTCTATTGGTCCCTGCATTAATCACCAGGAGTCATGGTAATCTTTAGATTTAACAGATTTTGGGACACTCTCCATGTTATATCAGGTTTATGCCCAGGGAAGATAGCAACCTCTCCATTTGATCCAGATCAGCAAACAGCAATCACTGTGACTAGTCTTTTCTTCCTCTTACCATGAAATCATGAATTCAATGATTTTTCTTTTGATGAAACCTGTAGATTTGTGTCATTTCTTTGAACACAAGAAGCTGATTCTTCCTTAGAGTATCCAGCTCCATCCTCTATGAGAAGTCTCATACTATTGTATAACTTTAAATGTTCAGAGGTCCTTCTCTCTTTTCTTTTTTTTTTTTGGTCACATTTTTCTACCTTCTAGCATCCTGACACAGTTTGGATTTCTATATTTCTCTTCTATTTTTCTTTTTTTCTCTTTAAAGCACTTCTTTCATTCTTTTCAAGGAACACTTCATTTTACCCAGTAACTGATAAGTAGAGATATTCTTTGATCCCTTTCAACTTCTCCCCCTTGACTCAGTACATTTATAGCTATTACTAGTCACTGATAGAAATAAAGCATTGTCTACTCTATTCAGGGCATTGCAAAAATCCCACTGCCCTTCATATTTGATTGAAAGCAAAACCTCAGTCCTCCTTAGAGACAGCTAGGAAGTACAGTGGATAGAGTGCTGGGCCTGGAGTCAAGAAGACCTGAGTGACCTTGGACAAGGCACTTAACCTCTATTTGCCTTAGCTTCCTCATCTGTAAGATGGGTATAGTAATAGCATCTATCTCCCTGTGTTGTTGTAAGGATCAAATGAAATATTTGTAAAGCCATTAACAGTGTCTTGCATATAGTGAGTGCTAGAGAAATGCTGTGGTTATTATCATTGTAATAATTATTATCCTTGTTGATAGTTCATAGGATCAAAGGAATCATAGATTTAAAGTTAGAAGAGACTTTAGAAGTCATTTAATCCAGTCTCTTTATTAAACAGGTGAGGAAGCCAAGACTCAGAGAATTTAAGTGTTTTTCCCTAGGCTGCAGGGCAGGGAGTAGTGGATCCAGCACTGGAACCAGATCCTCTGCTCTTCAATCCAGCACTGTTTCCACTGGATTATGTTGTTCTCATAGCCAAATCTTTTGGTAAAAATGTGAGGCGATTACTTTTCATGAACAGAAGATAAAGTATTCCAAAACTAGAGGGAGCAGCCACAGAGATCTCAAGGGGACATAGGTGCTCATTATTTCATATGCTTATTTTTGAGCATTAGGACATAGTCTCATTGGTGTTGCTCAAGTATTAGATGGCATGGTAGATAGAGCACAGAATTTGGAGTCAGAATTCTAATCCTGCTTCAGACACTTGCTAGTTGTGATCTTGGAAAAGTCAGTTAACCTTTGTTTACCTAGTTTCTTCATTTGTAAAATGGGATTAATAATAGCACCTACTTCATAGGATTGTTGTGAGGGTCAAATGAATTAATATATATAAAATGCTTTGCAAACCATAAAGTGCTATGTAAAAATTATTATTATTATTATCGTTATTATTAGAGACTGACCTGCAAATAGGAAGCATGAGTAAAGAATTAGAATTTGTGATGAGGGTAAACCTAGTGCTTAAATTTGATAATGGTTCAATGAGAATGATTCTTTCCTTTTACAGGGCTAAGTGAAAAAGTAACCGAGTCATGGAGTTATAGAGTGACTATGGAGCTCAGGCTGTCACTGGACATTGGTGTTTGTGAGGGAGAAGCTAGGAACAGGACTCTTTAGGCCATTGACCTGAGTAGCCATCCTCCTGGCACTTTGTAATCTACAGCTGAGCAGGGGATATGCAGTGCCACAACAGCATGTTGGTGTATGCCACTCTGAGGTATCAGCTGCTACAAGGCTTCTGAGTAAATCTTCACCTGTTTATGTCATGATTCCCACCTTTTCTCATTATGACCTTACCCTATTTAGCTACATTTTATTGACAATTAGCAGATTCTTACCAAAGTTTTCAACGTCAGTGAAATTTGCTCAGTGTTGTCCAGAAGAGGGTCTCAAGCTTGCAGTTAGCATTCACTTCATACCCCTTTCTCATTACTTAACATATAATAGATCAAACTCCAAATTCTGCCTGAGACATTTACTGATTTTTCAACCCTGAACAAGTCTCTTACTTTCTGTTGTCTTCAGTTTCATTATCTAAAACTATTATAACAATAGTACTTAACTTCACAGGGTTGTTGTGAGGACCAGATGAAATTATATCTGTGAAGTACTTGGAAAACCTATAATAGGATTAATAAGTATTATTAAGTATCATTTATTATTATCAATTTTTTCTCTTCCTTCTTAGGCACTTCTGACATTCTCTTCCATATTGTTACTAACCTAAGTCACAGCATTCTGTGAAGCCTTGAGTTTCTAGAAACTAGATTTTTTGTCCTCTGAGATTATCCAGTTTTGTTTTTCAGGGATGTTCCCCCATGCCTTTTTCTTGGACATAAAGACCAGCATTGTGTGTGTGTGTGTGTGTGTGTGTGTGTGTGTGTGTAAATTTATGATATATTTTGTATCTAATGTGATAGAGATTAATTTCTTATAACCCAGAGTCAGAGTATAACTTTCTAAGGGTTTCTAATTCCTCAGTGTCTGCAGGTTTAGGAACTCACTGTATCCATCTTTCCAGGTTAAAAAGCCAGGCTGAGTTTAATTCAAGAGATACTACCTTTGATGAAGCACTCAGGAAAACCCAAGAACCGAATCTTTCATTGAATGGAATTGACACAGGACTAAGGTAATCCCAAAAGGATGCAGAAGTGCTCCCTTCACTCCATCCATCTCATTCATCAAGTACTTTTTTTTTTGCTTTTCCCTCCAAATCATTGTTTTTATTTGCTTATGTGTTCTCTTTCACCATGCAATTCATAAATTGGCATTGATTTATTTTTAAATTCACTAGTAGTTTGGAGTCCTTTTCCATTGTTAAGAAAGATTCCCAGTTGTATGTGCTTTTTCTATGTGGAAAATGTCTTAAAAACACATCAAGTACTTGAAGATCATTATTTTTCTCTTGGACTTCAAAAAGCTAAGAAGCTAAGTCTACATTTTTTATGGATCTGTAGTCTTATATAAAAGAACCCACCTCTCAATTCCCAAGAGGAAAAATTTTACAGTATTATCTATATGATGAATCTTTAGTTTGATTGCAGAGCCATTACTTGTGAGGAACTCTTAAGAGAGGCACATTAGTGGGAAGCCATTTCTCATGTCAACTGATAAAAGGCCAATACTCTGGACAAGAAATGTTTACAGTACTAAAGCTGAGATCATTAAAAAGGGGCAGTTAATAAGTTATTTTAATATTTGAAGTATAGTTAAACTACACATGCATATAAAAATGTTTGGGTATGTACCTGTTGTCCAAAGGTGCTACTACTATTATTTGACACTGGCCAAGAAGTGATGTGTATGAACACTGTTCCATAAGACAGTGGAGCCTTTAAGGCAGCAAATCTTTGGGCTTTCTGTTCTCCTTTTGTGCTTTGAAATTGACAGCATTACTTTTGTCAGACTAACCATTTTTTAGCTGCCATGCTACAAATAAACAGAATCGCTTTCTTTTCTTACCTCTCAAGGCTTAATGACCCTTTCTTTATCTGAACCAGATAAATAAGTAAGACCTTGGACAATACCAGACAAGTCCACAACATATGGAATTGCCCAAAAAGATTTAGGTGTATCTGCTGAATATCTATGCCCCTAACCCAAATAATGACTTCAGAAATAAGGTAAAAATATATACAGGTTTCAAATCCCCAACAGATTAGGATGCAAGATTGTTGTTGTTGTTGTTGTTGTTGTTGTAATATGCCCGTGATAGACTATGATGCTTTTTCAAAGTTAATCTGTATCATAGCAGTTTAAGATACCCATATCAGCTACTTCCAAAGTCTGGCAGACAACCACTGGGAAATGTGTTTCCCATCTTCTGTCTTCTTTTCACTAAGGTTACTCACTCAAGGCTGCTTAAATTATTTAATCTAATGTAAGGCTGGAAAAGGCGAAGGCGACAAGTTCATTTGTCTCCTTTATATAGTTGGCTGTGGAAATGGTGTTGTCTTAGATATCCCAGAGAGAGCTAGAGATGGGACAAAAGGGAATACTGTACAGCCCTGAACAGTCTGGCTCTTTTATTAAAGAACTTGGTAGAATTGTTTAAATACCAAGTGCTGGTGGTTTTGGAAAATACAATCAAGAATTGTTGTGGAAATGACCCTCTTTTTACCTTCCAAGCTGTTTGAGTTTGCCAGAGGAACTCCCAAGATGAAACTTAATTTTAAACTGAATTTTGTTTATCTGGAAATTTAAATTATCTTAGTATTAAAAAATACTCAGTGTATTTAAAATATTAAACTTACTCAAGTGAGGCATTAAGAATTTGGAACTAAAATAAATGATATAATCAGGAACTGAAAACATATTTTTTTATAATTAACAGCTCATTTTGAGTTAATTATATACAATTACCAAAATCTAATTGCAATTTATTCTCTATTATCTGTGGGAAGAATCACAGGCTAGGGAGCTTGCATCTCTGGCTTCCTGCATAAATGCTATAGAATGAGAACAAATACTACACAAGTGCTTAATGACAAACAGGAGCAAATAGAAGGGCACAGCTGGGCCAAACTATTGGAAGGTAATTGTTGTCTGAAATGAGGTAGTGACTTAAAAAGCCAGAGGCAGCTCTGTTAGGGCATCAATCCTTCCTTTTTTTTTTTTTCAGCCAGCCAAAGATGACCCTTTTTACACAAATTATAAGTTGTTTTCTCTGATTTACCCCTGACAGTCTGCCCAATTTTAGGCCTTTAAAAAGGCTTTAAAGTGTTTCAGAATCACTTTTAAAGCATTGGGTCCAGTATTTGGTCAGTGCTACATGCCTCCACATTTATGTGTCCTTTTATGTGGCTTGTAGACCAGGTAATATGATTGACATTTCTGCCTTTGTTAATCTAGGTATTAATCCAGCTTTTACTGCTCTATTCCCCACATGAGTAAGGAAAATCAAGATACTTATTCCATTTTTTTTCTTTCTCTTTTACCCATAGATATATCAGTCTGACAGACTGGAGGAACCGTGAGAATTTTTTTGCCCTTTACTGACTTTTCAAAGCATTTCCCCTCTGTTTCTTTCAAAATTTCCTTAACATCTTGTCTGTTTAACACCAGTTAGAATCAACTTCATCTCCTTCACAACCTGTTTAGTTCTGACATCATAAAACTGAATTGAAGCCTTCCAGATATGAATTATGGCTTTGTTTTTGGTGAAGAGTAGAAGAGAAGTTCCTGAGTCTGAGAGGAGATATCTCTTCAACAATAGAAACAAATTCCTAAGGGCTAAATATAAAGTGGCTTTTTCCATCTTCTATGGCAGAATTACAATGTGGAAAAGAGTGTAACCTACCATCTCCATGTTTCCTTTCCAATAATTTCTCCCAGAATCTTAGGAATTAATGCCTAGAACTGCAGCATATATTTATTGCTTATGGGTGGGTAGGGTTACAAAAGCCCTCCATGGGATCTTACCAGCATACATGCAATAAACAGTGAAGGCACCGTGATATCCATCTGTGAAGAGAGCACCTACAGTAGTAAAAGCATGACTCCAACAAAAACGAAGTCCATCAACTAGCATTTATTAAGGGCCTGCACTGTGCCAAGCACTAGGCTGAATGCTGGGGATACCAAACAAACAAACAAACAAAAAATAGTTTGTTCTCTCAAGGAACACTCACTCTAATAGGAGAGTCAATAGGCAAACGTGATGTACAAACAACATATTTACAGGAGTTTGTCTGAGAAGGAAGGCACTAAGATTAAGGGAACTGAGAAAGGCTTCCTGCAAAAGGTGCAATTTTAGCTGAGATCTGAAGGAAATCTTTGAAGCCAGGGAAGCTATGAGGGGGGAGAGAGTTTCTGGAATGTAAGACAGCCACTGAAAACTCCTCGGTTAGGCAATGGAATGCTGTGTGCAAGAACAGCTAGGAGGCCAGCGTCACTGGACGACAGAGTACATGAAGGGATGAAAAGTATAAGTGACTAGAAAGGTAGGAAGGGTTCTGGTTAAGAAAAGCCAAAACAGGATTTTATTTGATCTTGGAGGCAATAGGAAGGGCTCCCTAATGAGTGAAATAACACTTTCTCATAAAAAGATCAACCAAAATTGGAATTGTACACTTACGAAAGCAACATATTTTATACAGTGATGGGAGGTGATTAAACTGTGAACCACCCATAGACTGGCCTTCCTTCCCAGAGTTCAACTCTCCTCTTTGACTGCTTGACAGCAAGTCTTAGTCCACCTTAAAATATCATTCTTCCCTATAATTAGTGTACTAAATTAACTGGTTTTCCACTGAAGTCAGTCATTTCAGGCAAAACAGCCTTGTCCAAAGATTTTAAAGAAGCGAGACTTGGAGAATCTAATAATGCTGTCTTAGGCTCGTGGCTATTTGGGTTTTTATTTTTTAAAAAAATTGTAGCATGAATATAGGAAAGTAAAAAAGCCCTTAGTCAGTCAGGAAACATTTATTAAGCACTGTCCTAAGCCCAAGAATACAAAGAAAGTCAAAAGATAGTAGTCTCTGTTCTCTAGTTCACAATCTAATGGAGTCAACATGTTACTGTGTACAAATATGAAACTATGTACAAGCAAAGCTATATATAGGAACAATTGGAAATAGTCAGTAGAGGGAAGGTAGAAAAATTAGGAGGGATTGGGGAACACTTCCTATAAAAGGTGAGATTTTAGCTGGGATTTGGAGGAAGCCAGGGAAGTGGGGAGGCAAGGATAAGAAGGGAGAACTCTCCAAGAATAGAGGACAACCAGTAAAAATTCTCAGTTGGGAAGTAGAGGATCATGTTCCAGGCTCAGCAAAGAGACCAGTTTCATTGGTGGAAGAGTACTTGTTGCATGGGTGGGAGTGAGGAGTAATAAAGTGTAAGAAGTCTGGAAAAGTAGGTGGAGACCAGGTTATAAAAGGCTTTAAATTAACCCAAGTATTTGTATTTGATCCTGGAGGTGATAGGGAGTCACTAGAATTTATTGAGTAGGGTACTGAGGATAGAATTTTCTTAGTTAGATAATGTTAAAGTATACCATCTCTCCATGAATGACCTCCTTTCTGCATGCTTTTAGACACAGTTACTTTTTTTTCCAGTCCATATGTACAGACCAGAAGTTTATTAAGTAACGATTTAGTCAGTCAAATGGCAATTAATAAATCAACAGAGAATGTGGATGTAGAATTATCTGGGTATCACATACCCAAAAGGAAGTCTCAGATTAAAAAAAAAATAAGAACGTTGATAGTATCCCTGATTATAAAAAAGACCAAATAAATTATAAAAACATTTTGCTTCATCTGCTGCTTATAAGTGGAAAAATAGTAGTGATTCTCATTGTGGGTATAAAGCTTGCTCTTAAGCTGATAACAAAAACTTATTTTAAGTCTTATGTAAAAGTAACTTTCTTCCCGGCCAACAATCAATATTAGTGGAGTTGGGGAATCTAGAGCTTCATTAGTGCTTGAGTCTGGTTGTTTTGATAACCTCATTCTCAGATTTATTTTTAACAAAAGCATTGTGAAGTTTAAGTTTATTTGGGAGGGACTAGGAGAGGGAAACTATTTAGTTGTACTCTGAAATTTTGTGTCAAAGTTTGTGTTAAAGTAAGAATCAGTGTGTGAAGGAACATCTTGGAAAGGGAGCTATCTAGCAGGTTCCTTGTCTGAG